AGTGCCTTTTACATTTCGTGGGCCCGTCACGTGTCAAATTATAGTACACTTTGGTGTCCGACCCGTGTGAACATTACTTGAAAAAATGAATGATGGTCGAATATTGATAATAGAGGTCCGATTGGTTCGATTTTAACCCAAATCATGATCATATTAGATTTAATGGTTAATTTTTTTTTCTTGTCTATAACTGGACCAGTTTTATTTTTTAACTGGCCACAATCCAGACTGCATTGGATGGTCCGATTTGACAGTTAACCGAATGAAAAGGTAGTGAAGTAACCCTAAGGTTTGGTTCGATGCAGGGATAAAGGACAGTAGGCCATCACTGGCTCCTCCCCTCGGATTCTTTCCTTCGGCTTAACTTTATACCTTCCCTATCCCTTATTTTGGGCCTTCATTTTTTTTTTTCTCATTTTGGACTCTATTTTTATTTTTTAATTTTGGGCCTAAAAGAGATTATTTGGGCTTAAATATTAAGAAAAACAACAATAATGAAATAAAAAATACACAATTCGTCATATAAGCATAAAAATACACATTTATTCCCAAAAAATTAGGAAGAGAAGGTGGAAAAAAGTGAAAAGTTATAGTGTCTTACAACATTAAGTCAACAAAAGGCAAAAAAGTGAAAGTGAATGTATTGTATTTGTCGGTCATAGTGACTAAACGTATATATATATATATATATATACATATATATATATATATATATATTTTTAATATTTACCAGTCCGGTCCAGTTAAACCGGCTGTTTGCCGCTGGTAATCCGTTAACCAGACTGGTTATTTCGACTTTTTAAAAAAATTAACTATTAGATTTTTTAAGACTTTTTTAATCGACTATTTAATCGATCCGCGATCCAAATTAATGGTTTTTTTGGGTTAAAATCAGACCGTGAACACCCCTTGATAAGAGTGACCACTTGTGAAGAAGATGACTGAGGTTGTTAGAATATATTTTGTATATATGGTTATAATATATTTTGTATATATATTGTAGG